TCTTCCCCCAGCTTTATATGCTGAGCATGACGTCATATGGTATGGAATATCCCTTTGGTCAGTTGGGGTCAGCTCTCCCGGCTGTGTCCCCTCCCAACTTCTTGTGCACCCCCAGCCTGCTCGCTGGTGGGGTGGGGTGAGAAGCAGAAAAGGCCTTGACTCTGTGTCAGCACTGCTCAGCAGTAACGAAAACATCCCTGTGTTATCAACACTGTTTTCAGCACAAATCCAAAACATAGCCACATACCAGCTACTATGAAGAAAATTAACTCTATCCCAGCCAAAACCAGCACAGGTGTGCAACAAGGAAGAAGGCTTGAGTTCCTGCCTTTTCCCCTGTAATCATAGAATCATAGAATGGTCTGGGTTGGAAGGGACCTTTAAAGGTCAACTAGTCCAACGCCCCTGCAATGAGCAGGGACATCTTCAACCAGATCAGGTTGCTCATAACCCTGTCCAACCTGGCCTTGAACACTTCCAGGGTTGGGGTATCCACAACTTCTCTGGGTCACCTGTTCCAATGTCTCACCACCTCCATCATAAAAAAAAAAAAAAAAATCTTCCTTATTTATTCCTTATCAGAATCTGGCCAGTGACGCCTTCTGCTCATGTATGTTGTCCTAAATCATCCCACCCTCCCCTTCCTCCATCATCTGTGTTTTGCAGTATTGTGTCTTCCTAGATTCTTCCTTACCTTGAACTGGCTCTGCACTTCTTTTACTGGATGGATACAGTAAAAAGTGCCTCTTTAAACCTGAAAAGCAATTTAATAAAAAGGAGAAATAGCCAAGGAGGGGACTTTGCTTAATCTTGTAGTCTCTTGTGTCCATCTACCCTCCCCCAATCCCTGTAAGCTCTGGGATCTATAGCATTCAGTATAGAGAAATAACAGTATTTACTTTCCTGCCTCTTTCTGAACTGACCTACAGTGGTCTCTTTTGGCTACCTCCAATGCAAATGAAATATAGAAATGGTGAAATACAGAAATGGCCCTGAGCTCAAGGACCAGATCTCCCTGTTGCTCTGTGGCTGCCATGAGGACCGAGAACTCTTTCCATGGGTACTCATGCTCGTCCAAGAAATGTTCAGGACTTTTTTTTCTAGTAGTGGCATCACTTCATACAGATAGGGTAGGGAGTACTCAGAGTACCTTATGATCCATCCCCGGAAGATGTTTCTCCCTGCAAGCGTGGCTCTGAATCTCTCTGTGGCAGAATAGGAAATTGAATCTACATCTCCTACTTCTTTGGAAAGTGCTGTCACCACTGTACTGCTGGTAAGAAAGAAGTGGACACTACCTTCTATTACCGATTCTCTTTTAACTGCTACTGTCTTCTGCGAGAATCTGGTGCTTTTCAAAGATGTCCTCCAGCTCCATCTCTCCCAAAGGAAGACCTGCCTTCTGGAGACCACATAAGCTGACACGTGAGCTAGCACCAAGTTCTGCAGAAGTTTGAGCTTCCACCTTTTTACACATAGACCTCTGAGGAAGGGGGGGAAGTTTAATCTTGTGTAAACTCCAGCTGGCAGCCCTCAACAGCACTTTCAGTAACGTAGCTCTGCACTTGCAAAAAAGTCCCTTCCATGGGGATTCACCCATGTCCCCGTGCGGCAACTCTCTTGCTCCTCTCCCACCGGTGAGGCAGCACCTCTCCTCCCCAAGCCACTGCTCCCACCTAGCGGTAGGAGCTCTGCTGGTTCCCCAGGCTCTGCTGCCAATTCCCGTGCCAGTCCCGCACCCACTTGTCATAGACCCAGTAAAGGTCAGGAAAAGGAAATTCCCTCTCCAGATTTTGCAGCCCAGCTATACGCCTTTCAAATCGTTTCTTACGCCAAGCGCTATAAAAGCTGGATCACGCCCCACCCCCAAAAAAAAGCTCTGAAACATGAAATTGCTGTTAAAGTTAAAAAATTTCCTAAGGGGAAGCAGCATTCTCACGTTCCTCTGCAGGTGGTGGAATCCAGGAGGAATTCTGAACTGGATTCCCCAAATACAAAGCAGACATCAGGAGACTGCGTGGGTTGGTGAGGTAACTGGTTTAAGATTCAAACAGGCCACCTCGAGCAGTTCCCACTTGCATAATTTCACTGTGGTCTTGGGTTAACCAGCGATAGCAGGTACCTCCAAAAAAACCAAAAAACCCAGTAAATTTTGTGTTCCTCAAGTCAGGAACCAATGCTTGCTTTTTCAGTAGCACCAGAGCAACAGGTCCAAAGCCAAAGTACACTCCAGAAGGCTACGTTTAAAAGAAACACAAATATTTGAAGTTCAGTGCAAAGATCATTTATAGTCTTAAGAAAATACATAGAAGGTGTGTGTGTACTTTGAAGGTAAAACTTGAACCAAGAATCTTATTTAAAAAAATAAGCATCTGATACCATTATAAAAAGTCCTCTGCAACATTAATCAAGAGGAAAAAAAATCAGGTTTTCAAGTAGTCTGAGAAGGCATGGGCTGTACTTTAAAGATGTGTTGTATTTAACAGAAACTAAACCAGAGGTCATAGCCTGTTAGCATATTGACAGACTTCAAACTTCACTGTATACCGTAAATTTGAATAGCTAAAGATTGCACTAAGCACAGAAATGCATAGGAACAAACATACTTTAACACATACCTTAAGCAGATTTCTGCAATTTCACCAAAAGCTACCTTTACCGCTTGCATTTTTTCTTCTGTGTGCTCTGACACATTCAGCATTTACTTACTTACTTATTTAGTTTGATTAAGCTAGGTAAGATTTCCTTACCTAAATGTATTTTACGGAACTGCTACCCTGCTCTTACAAAACTATAGTGTCAATTGATTAGAAAGCAAGTGATGCAGTTAATGGTAAAAATAGTAATTGGGATAAAATTCAGAGAAAATATTTGCACTTCAAATAGTTAATAAAAATCTCTTCTGGTATAATGAGAACAGCTCTAATGAGCTAGGGATTAAAATACAAAATGACAGAAAACATCATCTAACAAAAACCCCTTGTGAAATTTAATTGAAGTCAACATATTTAAATATCAAAGAATGAAAATGCATAATAAATCTTACTATGCTGGGGATGCAAGTAAACAACTACATTCCTGGTACTATTCTGGAAAATGATCTTTAACTGCACTTGTACAGTAGAAAATATTAAACTCAAAGAACTTTTCAGCTTTTACATTCTGCTATTTTTATATTAGTAAAGCAATGGCAATTGCACAACTGTCTACTGAATGGAGTCTTTTGAACCAGAAACACAATAGAGTATCTAATTTCAATTCTGACAGGAAATCAAAATGAGCAAAATAATCACCTTTTGTAACCCTTTATGGGCTTCTGAAAGGGCTTGCTTTTTTTTTTTTGCTTTTTTTCTTTCTTTTTCTTTTCTTTTTTTTTTTAAGATACTATTTGTCTCAACTTTCTATTGCAGTAGGCAATTCCACACTCAGTGGAATTTCATCAGGAAGTTCCAGCAAGAAACAAACACATCAGGTCAGAAATTAGAAAGAAATACTTTCTTCATGGAAGACCAAGCAAGGGGTCTTGAAATTACATCAAGATAAAGAGGATGGCCTTTCCAGCTGCCGGTTCAACTACAGTCTGTAGGCCAAACTGCACTAATCACAGAGGACAACATCTGGACCCACACAATTATTGCTGAGATAAGGACAAGGGTAACTTGCAAGATGAGTTACCGCAAATAAAACATTACCTTTTTTTCCTCCCTTTTTTTTTTGAAGTGACATTCAAGTGGACTGAAATGTCTGATACTGGCTTTGTATCTATCTGTGATTTAGGTCCACAGAATTCAAATTAATTAGCCAAGACATTTTTATATGCAGCACAAATAAGCCATGTAAAAATACACATTTTATTATGTACATTTAGAGGTTAAAGTTAATTTAAATTGATACAGTTTTTCCTTCTTCAGTTCCATCTTTTGTCTCATGACATTCTGCTGCTGCTTCCAAATATTCTTCTTCGGTGACCTGCAGAAACATAACAATTCTGCTATATTTTTAAACATGATTTAATTCTCCTTGATCCTGGAAATCCTCCCCTCATACTGTCACTGTAACAAGAAAGGACAGCCTACAAAGACAATTATTGTCTCCAAAATCAAATAACCTGAATTACAAGCATCTTCAAACTAATTTCATAGAAAAATATCATGGGTTAGGCTCTGAGCACATACTTGGCTAACAAGTTTCAGTAGACATACAGCATTTTTTTCTCTTTCTCTTGCCACACAAGTAAGTAAAATATTTGATCTGAAGGCTCCAAAACATCTGCTGTTTAATTCTTATGAAGATTTCGCACGTTTAAGCATGCCTTGAAAGTGAGTCTCTGGTTATATGTGGCTTATGATTTCTTATAGTTCCATTTATCTTAAAAACTTGCCTTTTGCATTTATTCAGTCATTGTAAAGCTGCTCTTGGATAAGTACATTTCAACTTTGAAACTCTTGTTTAATAGAAGTATGTTTGCAAGAAACTCTTATTTTCCTTTTAAACAGGCAAAAAGTACTCAAACTAGTGCATTTATGCAGCTTACTGAAATAGCATTCCCTTTTATCTCCAGTAACTTCCACCTAGGTTCACCCAGTGATATTAGATTTTATCCCTGCATTTACTTGTAAGAAACACGTTCGTATGTGTTCTCTCAAACCTATGGCAGAAAACTTGTTACTATCTACAATCTAGGTAAGTGTAAATACATTATTCCAATTTTTAGTTTTCTTATTTCATGTTCACAATTAAAACAGGAAAAAATAATTTTAAATTTTACACACACGTGATACCAACATTAATTCTAGAGATGAATTTGAAAAATACTAATATAGTTTAAAGTGATAATTAACAACAGCTTAGAGATTTCATGTGCATCTGATTTTTCTTCACCTGTGAACATTTCCATTCCTAAAGATATGTTCTTGAAGATATTACCCATCTCTAATCATTCAAATTCTACTCTATCACAGCATATCTTTATATCTGGTAAGCTGTACTTCACCACTAATGAGACTTACCAGCCTCTTCGATCTTTCCAGCAGTTTGTGCCACACGGTGTGGTGAGCCTGTATTAAATGTCATTAAATAATGTTACTGGAGGCCAGGGAAAAAAAAAAGTAAAATCTTCCCATCGAATAGATTCTGACAAGTGTATAGAAATGATGGCCCAAAACCATAACAATCCAGACACTAGAGCTTATGATTTCAGTGTCCAATTTGCCCATATTCCTTTGGGGGACTTGAATAAATGTCTGCTGATCATATCCATTCATTGCGTGGAATCATTGAGGGGGTAACGGGCAAAAATGGGAATTAAAATCTAATGACGAGGAAGGGTACACAGAGATGAGGTGAGGAATCCAGTGCCCACTTGTCTCCTGAAAACTTCCCCACCTGAGGCAACAGCACGTGTGCTAGACCACAGGTCAAAATCATGTAAGTCCACAGAAAAGGGAAGGAAGACTCCTGCCTCCACCTATAGTTCTGCAAAGCCTTTGTTTAAGACTGATTAATGCTAGGACTTTTTTTGTTATTGTTGTTAAGTTTTACTTTGGTGTCGTGAAAGACTTTGAAATGGTATCCTTTATCGTGAGTATAAATTCAAAGTTCTGCTTTTTCCTGAATCTGAATAAACACTGTCAGCAGCCTCAATTTCAGAAGATTAGCATGCACAAGTAACTAAGGCAAGGTGAATGAAATATACATGCAGAAATTGCATAACCAAAACAACACTTTCAGAACTGAAAAATAATATCAAGGGCCCTCTGATGCAAACTTTTCTAGTTCTGATTTCATATCCACAATAGTTCCAGGAAAACGAACCCCAAATATCCAACACAGTCATCATCGTGGGCCTTTCCTTTCTACTACTGTTCTCACCTTCTCTCTGAATTACGTTTGGCTACCAGCACAGCATATAATAAAGATCGGAAAGTAAGTCAAATGCCCTAACTTAGAGAAGGAAAACAAAATGGATTAGTTACCTTCAAATGGATTGGCAGGGACACACCCTGGAACCTCCTAATCAATTCAGATTGGTTAGTCTGAAGATTATGGGCTGCCGTTATCTCATACTGGAAACAGAAACTTGTCCTTGGAATATGAGGGCCTTCACTAACATCTACAAAGTCACCAAACCTGATGGGAGCAAAAAAAAAACCCCTATGTCAAATATATTCAGAGAGAAGTACAAGCCTATTTGGTTTTATTTTTGATTAGCAAATTCCTATCTACGGAACAGATGAAAGAAAATCCACACAAATCCCAAACCAAATCTAAACAAATCCCCAGTTCAGCATTTCTAGGTTTCCTGAAGCAAAAGTACAGATAACACAATTTCCTAAAATGAATTTATGAAATTTAAACCTCAAGTCTAGAAAGAGGATCCTAGGTTTAACAAATCTTTGAAGCCATGTTGGATTTAGAAATGGGATAACTCTGTCATTCACCAGAAAATGATTTGTCTCCAAGATCACACATTTTCCACAGTACAGTGTTTACAACCCGCACAGGTATTTCCCTTTCAGGTCTTGGAAAACTGCAAATCAATTAAGAAAAGTGAGAGACAAAAAGATGTACAGCAAAAGAACATTCAGAACAAACCTCTCCTAGAAATCAACAGGTAAGCCCATTTTCCCTCTTATTGAGCAAACTAGAGAGTGGGAGGAAGGAGGAACAACAGACACAACATAGTTCTAAAATTTCAAGAACCATCACTGCAAAGACATCTGTTCCTTTAGAGAGATGTGGACTCCAAAATCAAATGCAGAACAATTTAGATATCTAGAAAACTGAATATCCTACACTAGCCTAAGCTAGTGACAAATTCTTTTACATGCCTGAGATACAATACAAGCTTCCTGCCTCCAGCCTACGAACTTTCTATCTTACACTGTATCACACGACCCAGCTCTATTCTCAACCCCACCACTACAAGGCAGTAGCAAGCTTGCTATTTTGGAAGAAAAATCCTCTATACAATGCTAACTCTTGTTTTCAAACAAGTATTTGGTTTGTATTTTGTTTAACCTGTCAAGCTCTAGAGATTTATTCAGATTTTATGTAAAAGCATTTAAAGCAGTAAGACTTCTCTGGCACTTACTACCTTTAACATAACAAGAAACAGAAATGTAGTGAGATCCACCAAGTGTTAAGTATCATGAAACAATGGTTGTATATAAAAAAAAAAACAACACCCACACAACAACTTAAGACAGACTACAGACAGCAATGAATACAAGTGATTTCTAAATTGAAAACCAGCACAAGTAACTTACTCTTCTCACTTGCAGAGCGTACTTGCAATATAATCAAATCTTTCAATGAATCATTACAGAATGAGAGTTCAGTTTTGCTCACCTATGTAACGTTACAATTCCTTCCACATTCTGAGAAGCTTTTCGTTCTATCATCTCCATTTTGTAGCTGAGGAAGACAAAAAAAGGATTTTAAAAAATCTCACCTTTAACACCTAGTTCTTATAAGAATACTTAAGAAATCAATTTAAGGAGCATTCTTAAAAATCATGTTCTTATTTATATGAGCTTTAAAACAGGTTTAAATTCTTAATTTTATATGACAACACATATTGGCATGTTTCATAAAGCATGTCATACACACCTGTTAGTCTAACCTCAGTTCCCTCAAAAATTATGGAGCAGATTATACCGAGTACTATTGAAAGGCATTTAAAGAATAATGCAATCATCAGGCACAGTCAACATGGGTTCACAAAGGGCAAGTCCTGGTTAACTAATTTTATAGCCTTCTATGATAAGGGCACCCACTTAGTGGATGAAGGGAAGGCGGTGGATGTCGTTTTTCTGGATTTTAGTAAGGCTTTTGATACTGTCCCTCACGGCATCCTTCTGGACAAGTTGCCCAACTGTGGGATGAGCGGATTCACTGTGCGCTGGGTGAAGGACCGGCTGAAGGGCAGAGCTCAAAGGGTTGTAGTGAATGGGGCTACATCTGGCTGGCAAGCAGTCACCAGGAGTGTTCCTCAGGGTTCAATTCTAGGGGCAGTTCTTTTCAGTATTTTTATCAACGATCTGGATGCAGGATTTGAATGCACCATTAGCAAGTTTGCTGATGATACCAACCTGGGAGGTGTTATTGACTCTCTTGAGGGACAAGAGGCCTTCCAGAGGGATCTAGATAGATTGGACCATTGGGCTATGATTCATGAGATGAAATTTAACAAGTCAAAATGCCAGATTCTGCACCTAGGACAGAGTAACGCCGGGCACGAGTACAAACTGGGAGAGAAGTGGCTGGAAAGCAGCCCTGCAGAAAGGGATCTGGGGGTGCTGGGTGACAGCAGGCTCAACAGGAGTCAGCAGTGTGCCCTGTCAGCCAAGAGGGCAAACCGCATCCTGGGGTGCATCAAACACGTATAACCAGCCGGTCAAAAGAAGTTATTATCCCGCTGTATTCAGCGTTGGTGTGGCCCCACCTGGAGTACGTGTGCAGTTCTGGGCCCCACCATTTAAGAAGGATGTGAAAGTCCTTGAATGCGTCCAGAGGAGGGCTGGAAGGAACATCCTATGAGGAGTGGCTAAGGACTCCAGGTTTTGTCTAGTTTGGAGAAAAGGGGGCTGAGGGGGGACCTCATTGCTCTCTACAGCTTCCTGAGGAGGGGAAGCAGAGAGGGAGGTGCTGATCTCTTCTCCCTGGGATCCAGTGACAGGATGCACGGGAATGGTTCAAAGCTGTGCCAGGGGAGGTTTCGACTGGACATTGGGAAGCATTTCTTTACCGAGAGGGTGGTCAAACACTGGAACAGGCTTCCTGGAGAGGTGCCCCAAGCCTGTCAGCGTTTAAGAGGCATTTGGACAATGCCCTTAATAACATGCTTTAACTTGGTGAGCCCTGAAGTGGTCAGGCAGTTGGATTAGATGATCGTTGTAGGGCCCTTCCAACTGAAATAGTCTATTCTAGTCTATTCTATGTATATGTTATAGGAGGGCCATGCTCTCTGAGTAGAGTTTCATTCAGAAAGATAAAATGAACCTACTACTTCAAATAAAACCAAGAGTTTTTCCAGTCATATGTAAAACTAGAAGACACTATCAGATCACCTAAACTGGTTTTATGCAATGTGTGGTCCTCAACAGCTGGTCATCTGCAAGACAGCAAAGTGTTCTGTGCTCTTTCTACAGACACACAAATACACATACAATGTCTAAAGCTATTATGGAAAGTCAGCTCCCACCTGCTGTCAATGCTCGCCAGCCAACATAGCGAAGAGATGCTAGTCCGTATGTCACATTAATAGCAGCTTCATTATTAAGCTAAAAAACTAGTTATTTTTGCAACTTTAGCTTTAGCATAATTTTATTTTGGTTAACAAAATTATAAATTATTTATCATTTCCCCCCACCTCTCTCCAACCACCAAAAAGCTGTGCACCAGAGAATTTTTCTCCTAAAACATTGCTTTGTTTTTTCACTGGAGAAGACTTGAGTGTTTTGAACAAGCCTTCTTTTATAGCACAGGCCAGAGTATTTTACCCATTTTCCCCCTGCAGAGCTCAAAAACTGCATTTCATCAAATCTTCATTTGAAGATACCAAGATACGAAAAATCTACATTTCTTTGAACGTGAAAGCCTTTCAGCAAAGGCTGAGAGTAACTAGCATGCCAGGTCTAACCACTAGAGCTTCAATTTAAAAGTAGTGAAATCTTGAAGCTCACTATTAAACTAAGAAGTCTACAGTCTTCCCGTTTGTCACAAAACTACATCCAGCAAAGGTGCCTCGTGTTGGCCTCTGGAGAGAACATTAGAAATGAACTAAGGTAGTGTGACAAAGAGAACAGAGGCATGTTCATTCAGAGTAGTGGGAGAAGTACCTTCTTACTTCATCTGTCACATCTTATTTTAGATTTACAAAAACAAGCAGAGATTTAAATTAATTTCTAATTGCCTTTCTAAAAGAAGGGCAAATTCAGACACTTACCTGTTATGCTGAAACATTTCACGTGCTACTTTTGCTTCAACATGCAGTGTTTCAAATGGCAGGTCTTTATGAATTAGCTTTCTGGCATCTCTTGTAAGAGAACGGAAGCTGTCCTAAAAAACAGTTGATACATATAAAACCATCACCACTGTTTCACAGCTGTAATGAATAGACAAAGCATAGGAAACACTAAGTATTAGTCAAAACATTAAGGATCATCTACTATAAATCCTAAATATAAGAATATTGCTGTAGGATCGTAACTCTTACTATTTATCTGCAACAGATCGCTACAGATCATCGCTATTTGAAAGGACTGATTCAATGCCCAGTGAAATCAATAGGCATTTTTTCATTAGAAATTATACATATTAATTGGAGTTAAACTTCTCAGGACTTCCCAACATGATATATATACATACAGTCTTGCTACTGTAAATATTCATCTGTGTATCCTGTCTCCCAGAGTCATGATTCCACTTATAAATGATCTCTATTCTGATGGAATCAAAAGAAAAAAGTACTGAATAATTAATAAATAGACATTGATCACCTTGGTCCAGAATCCAAAGCTCTGCATACTCAGATTTGTCGATAAATAAGAAATTGTTATTAGGAGAAATTACATTTATAATGACACTTGAAAAACATTTCAAACTAAGTTACTTCAACTACAGGATTACATTGAAGAAAAATTCTGCATTGTACCAACATTGCTTTGTTAGCCATACACACCTCTGCTAATATTTGGACATGAGAATAAGAATAGGTACCAGACGAGTAAAACACTCATGATCACACCGGCTACCAAACAGTTATGAGACTTAAAGTTTTTAGATTATTAGATTTACTGAAAAGCATGAAATACAAGCAAGCTATTAAGGAAAGCTTCAGCTGAATGTGCTCACGGTTCTTTTACAACAATAAACTGATTATGCTGTAAACTACTAGGTGAAAATACACATATGACACAGTTGTGGTTTAACCTGGCAGGCAGCCAAATCCCACGCAGCCACTCACTCACACCGCCCCCTACCCCGCAGTGGGGCAGGGAGAGAATCGGAAGGGGAAGAGTGAGGAAAAACTCGTGGGGTGAGATAAAGACAGTTTAATAGAACAGAAAAGGGAAAATAATAATAATAATGATAAAACATACAAAATGAGTGATGCACAATGCAATTGCTCACCACCTGCTCTGACCGATAACCAAGTAGCGATCCGTACTTCCTGGATCACGCCTACCATTCATATACTGAGCATGACGTCACATGATATGGAATATCCCATTGGCCAGCTGGGCTGGCTGTCCTGGTTATGTTCCCTCCCATCTTGTGTACCTAGCTCAGTCAGTAGACATGGGAGCTGTCCTTGGACTAGGAGGGTACTTAGCAACAACTGAAAACATCAGTGTCACAGACACACATTTTTATTTTCAGAGGGCCCTATTTACACAAAGGCTATAGGGCTATGGTTGCATCTACATTACCAGGCAAGAGTGGCTGAGTAGGAGTAGTTCTGTATAGTAACAAAGAGGGCACTGAGGTCCCAACAGCCACGCCAACTATTTTGGGAATTGTATTTCAGACTGGAGCTACTCTAGCCCCATACATTTAAAACCTGTAAGTATTTGGAGGACAGTTCTAGGTTTAATTTCATCTGAAAGGAACCCAGTTTGTGTGCTCTGAGACCACTCTGCCACGACAGCCAGTATGTGGTAAATGTGGAGATTAGTTTCCAAAGAGTACTCCGGAGCTAAAATAAAATACTAGTGTAGATATGAAAAGTAAAAAAAGCCTTGCTGTCCCCTCTCCCCCATTAGAGAAGAACCACTGGACAAGGATGCAAGCTTTATAATTTTTTGAGGAAGAAGATATTGTGCTTACGTTTGTTGGTTTCCAGTCATTCAGTCTATTGTCCAAAATTACATCATAACAGAAAGCTCCAGAGATCACTGCAATCCCAATTCCAAAGAGAAAAATATTCATGTTTGTAACAAAGTACATATTTCATTGCCATAATACACACTTATAAATATATCAAAATGAATGAGAAGAAAAATAAAATTATCTCAAGAAATCCATCATAAAATATAAATTTTCAGCTGTGATTATACAAATGGTAGATTTAACCTGTATCACGTCACAGACGAGTAAAAGTTGTTACTAACCCTGTTTGTACTTCAATAATCTTCCAACTTGATATATACACCATAATTTTTAGTAACTCAAGTGCTCACAAGGTTATGTAGTTATTAGTGCAAATTTCACAGAAACACATCGCATCTTCTAAATACCTTACTCATGTAACTTCACAATAAAAAGGTTATGTCCTCAAGTTACTAAGTTAACCTATGAAATCCTAAGTGGTCTGAAACCCAGTTGCCACAGACCAGTTTTCTGTACTTTGATAACAAAATTGTTTTCAGTGTGATTGCTATAAATTAAAGGCTACAACAACAGCATGTAATACACAAATCAGTGCTAAGTACCTTCAGTCATTGGAAAAGGAGCCTCTGATTTTTTTGGTAACGTTATTAGACAGTCACTTAAGAGGCAGCAAAAGACAAGACAATCAGCATAAAACACTTATATCACCTGGCACTTCTGGAGCTTTAATCAGATTCACTGAGTACTCATCTTTGAATGCCCGCTTTAACACACATGCCATGATCATGGCACAGGAACGCCAATAGGCCTATAAAGAGAATTTCAAAACACAGATTTATTACCTAGAAGCTAACAACCCATACCAGATGAACATCTGCTCTTTATTCCAAAAGAACACCAATATTTAACTGAATTATGCACAAACCTAGATGTCAATCCAAGCATTACTTTCTTGAGTATTTAAACTTCTATTTAGAGATGATTCTCCATATATAATCAATCAAAATAATCAAAACTGCACTTAAAATGCAAGCCAGATGTTTCCCTGGAGATATTTAAATCTGAAATCATACAATAATACAACAATATAGGTTGGAAGGGATGCCCGCACATAGAATCATAGAATCATTAAGGT